GAACTGTATTCTGCGGGGAGAACAAGATTATGGATTAATGACTGGATAAAAGTCCTAACAATATCTTGCATTTGAAGACACAGTTAACCTGATAAAATCTTCAAGCTTCCACAGGAGCATTTGGAAATGACACCGAGCCACTTACTGTGATATCAGGGCGTGTGACCAATCCCTTGGTCAACGAGTTAAGTTTGAAACAGTGTCCAGAAAGAGAACATTGAATAGTTTCCAGGAAGACGAAAAAGAACGGTGTACTGAATAAGAAGTGAAGTTGAGGAGCCAGGAGCATTTAGGGAGTGGAATCAAGATTTAGAACATTGATAACTGCAGTCAAAACGACCAAAAGTGCAATAATTAAAACAAGATTATTCAATGAGCCAGAATTAAAGCAACATGATCGGGCTTGAGAAGATTGCAGAGCGAGGTGGCTGAGCAGATGGAAGTTTTTGGAGAAAAACTTGAATGTTTTAAGATCTGCCCAGTGCTTAAATAGAAACTAATGAGAGTCAGGGCACACAACAGTGTTGGGTGAATGAGACTTGGTGAATGTAAGATGAAGGGATATTAAAATGACGACAAGTGGAATGTTGTTGGACAGCAAGGTATTCGTTAGAATAATCAAAGGCATGGATTGCCAACTCATGGCTATCGGATGTGGGGATAGAGTCAAGCAATGTCACAGAGGGGCAGAATCCATAGTTCCACAGCATAGTAAATGAGCAGAAGCTCCTCAACGATGGCATCATGGTTGTGAAAAGTCTGGGATCAACCTTCTAATGGAAAGTATTCGTGTCCATAGCCAGAAAGTAAGTTACTTGTTGGACTGTGAAGAAATTGTCTTCAGATTTCCTAATATTGATTTGGAGGAAATTTCTGATTAACCAATACAGAATATAAGAGACACAAGCTGATCAATTAATAATAGTGGAGGAGACAAGAGACAATGTAGCGAGGTACATTTGGATGCTGATAGTTAGCAGATAAGACCTGCCCTGGTGTTTCAGGGTGCAGATGATCAAAAAAAAAGACGTGAAACCAAGGATAGATTCTTTTCGGAGAAACAGAGGCAAGGCTGCAGGACAAACAATTACAGGTCACAGTCTGTTTGTGAATTAGTGACTTGAATTGACACAAATAGCCTGCTAACTCGCCAAGCTGGACAATGATTTCGATGTGTAGGAGGAGGAGAATGTACTCAGCTCTGCTTAAGGCTGGAGATAGTTGAGGAAGCAAGGGGAAGAATAATTTATTTTTGTTCCAATCACATAGTGTTTCACATGTGAGTTTGATATGAACTGTTTCGTTTCTGTGGCAAGCGTGGAAACGTGAGTGCTGGAATTTAAATATGGAGTTTTATGCAGAGTTTGGCAGGCATTTAGCAGGTGACAGAGCATTCCAGGTCTTTGCATTTGTCAAGGAGTTCAGAGGTTGTGAAATATTTAGCATGGACAGTGAGGGGAAGGGAAGGTCTTGGAGGATGGAGGTCGTGATTGAGCGGACCTTCAGAAAGAGTGAAAGAGGTCTTTAAAATATCTGCTGAAATTGAGACGGGGTTGTTGGGCGTGACGTGGAAGTATTGATGATGGGGAACGGGGAACGACTGGGGAAGGTTAGTGGTCACTGGTTTCATCTGAATCCGGTCCAAGGAGAAGAGGTTCTCGTTTGTCAGATGAGCTCAAAGTGAGCTTGGTGGAGATCGGACAGAAATTCATGGATGATACCAGTTGAGGATTGACGGAGAGGGACGGACGAGAGCAAATGTGGCTCAGTGGGCTGTGGAGAAGTTGAAAAATGTGCGAGCAGCTGACCAGATGGTCTAAATCTTTGTGACAAAGACATGCATGTGTTCCTTGGAATTACAATGTGCAAGTCAATGAAAGTCATGCTCCGGGAAGTGGTGTGAGTTCAGTTATGCTGCCCTTAGATATTCTGTAAACACACCGATGACTACGATAGACCGCTCCAGCAAACATTGCTGAGGATTAACTCACCCAGAGCGGCGAGCTCACGGCTGCTCAATCTAAGTGTGGAAAAATCATCGGGACCAGGATCCAGCAGCAAATGACTGTCCCGCGTGTCCAAAGCTTCAGTCTCAACATCATCATAATTGCCTGTAAAGGGACCTGGAAGGAACAAGGGATGTTCAATGAAAACATATAGTTAGCACCAAAAAATTGTATAATGATATGTCATTCAAGCAAGAATTTGTAAGGCGGGAAAATTAGAGATGAGAAAGCCGAGAGTGATTGAACCGGATCTTCGTTTATAAACCCCGATATCTCACTGAAGCAATGAAGCCATACATTGATCTCGCCGAGCAATTAATTATAACAGTCAAATCACTCTCGAGCACTGCTGATTCTTGGCTGCGCCATTTGATGGCATGTGTCGCTAGATGTCTTTTGCTTTTGGTTTTTGGCAGTCGACAATTTGAAGCATACAGTAAAAAAAAAAGAATGTTTACAAGCTCGAAGATGCAAACCTGGAGTACTGGAGGAAGTTCCTTCAGGATTCGCTGGTCTAGGATCTTTATCACACAAACTATGACTGGTGTAATATTCGATGTGGTTGAATGAGTCATGGGAATCAGAAAGTGTAAAAACACAAGCGGATTGTGATTGGGGAGTTCGGAGATGAGAATCGAATCCACTTACATGATTCTTATTTTTTGCGGAGTACCAAGAAGGATAGCCCACATCATTTTGTCAGAGAAACTGAGGACAGGCAACAGAAGTCGGTTCTGCCATTGAACTGACAGGACGCCACACAGTACAGCTAGTTGCTAAAGCTGACACGTCCTTTCTCAGTGCAGGCAATAATGTATGATCTATTTCGTTCATACAGTGTCAGTGAGCGGAGTCTCCTCCCGTCTGATTTAAAATGTGCCAGAGCTGAATGCGAAAAATGACAGCACTGGCTTGTGGAGTCACAAAATATCGCAAAGAGGATAATTTTTCCGATTTTTTTCTTTCAATTCAGTCATCGACCTTCTCCCCGTCCAGTCGTCCCAATGTGCGAAATAATTGATTTGAGAGGCGTTTGTGGCCTTATATTGTTACCCCAAATTTACATTTCAAAACGGGATGTCAGATAACAGGCCACGACAATATTCATTCTGTATGGTGGGACTTCTGAGCAATGACAACTGTGAGCGAGCTTCGATTCGTGCCCGAACTCTCCTGTAACCAGTCAGCTGTAGAAAAGGGGAAGTGAAAGTGTCGAATTGTGTACCTGAGCCCTCTGTCGGAGCTGAATCCTTGACCACTGCAATATTATCAATCTCTTCATAAATTCCTTGGTACAACACAGAAGATGAATCCCAGTCGTCGGTGACAGCACCTGTGGAAGGATAGAGACGAACAGATGAACATTTTGTTGCATTGCTTACAGGCTTGAAACGAAAGCTGTGCTTACAGGCACCGCGACATGACGGGGCGCTCTTCCTGTACAGTAGCAGATGCAGTGCCAGTATCAGCGTGCGACTCATTAAAGGAAGAGAGGTTTTGAAGTGCACCTCTGACTTCTATCTCGGATCTGTCTATTAGCTTGTAAATTGGAGTCTCATAACTCTCCTTAACAATGAAGTTCACTTGATTTCAGAATTTTATTGATGTTGGAGAGTTTCATTGACGGAAATTTTTGCAAATTATTTTACTTGTTTAAGACACAATTTGGACCTCAGTTGGAGAAATGTTTACAGTTGCTCTGAGCAACATAGAATTGGAAGGATGCGAATGCACTGGAGAGAGTACAGAACAGTTTTCCGAGAATTTGTCAAATAGTGGAAACTCCCGTTATAAGAATATATTGGAGAAGTATGGCCAATCACCAAGGAGATGAGAAAGCTGGGAGGAAATCTGACAGAGGTTTACAAAATGATGAGGGACTGGAGAGAGCAGATGGAGAAAAACTATTCATCTCATTAAAAAAAATGTTTTCGAGAACAAGAGGGCATAGTTTCAAAGAGTTTTGCAAAAGAGATAAATGCAATGTGAGAAGAAACGTTTGTCACACCAAGCGCTCACGTCTGCGATTCGCTGCGTGAAGTGTGCGAGGAGACCAAATCAACTGAGACATTCAAAGTGCAATGATGCAACGATGCACCGACGATTAACGAAAGAGAAACATTTCGCAGGGTTATGGGGAAAAGCCAAGGGAATGACGCAAAGTTATGATGCTACTTCAGAGTAGAAGATATGCAAGATGTGCCCCATGGTCTCCCTTTTGTACAGTAATCATCTGCGAATCTCTGATATGACGGAAAGTAACACTATTTTTCGAAAAGTCAATACGACTTATGTTGAAGTGATAGAAGGACATGTTAGAAACTTGTTAAAATTTAAGGGGAACATATTTGTATATTTGTTGTAAAAATTAGACTGCTTGGGGCTTGGACAGTCCTTTTATCAGACAAGTAAACTCACTACCCCGTGCGGGAATTCGTCCCACTGAATCTTCCCTTGCATAAACTCACTGCCAAGTCTTCGATTAGCATTGTCCTTTTAATTGTCTGTCATACATTTACACTCACAGACTTACTGACACACAAAGGCACACACTCACCGACATGCACAAATACACACATTCCCTGACACACAAACAGATATTCTGAGAGTCACTCACGCCCACACATTGACGAACACAAACACACAGTCACATCAGCACTCACAACACATTGACACAAGCGCAAACATACAGACACAGTTCACTCATAAGCACTCAGACGCAAATACGCTGACACGCAAGTACACTCTCTCTGACAAACTCACTGACACACTGGCAGTCGCTAACACAAACATTAACGTTCATACGTTCACTGAGACACAAGCTCACACACTCACTCACCGACAAACATTCATATGCTTTCACACACTCTCTGACACATCGACATTCAATGGTCTATTGATGTCAACTGACAATAACACACGTATACTCACATACATTTACTGATCACGCACTGAAAGAAATGACACAAATTCTCTCACACAGATATTATTTGGAAATCATTTGAAATGAGGTTTTGCCCGAATATGACTGAAACCAGAGGATAACATCAGTTTGTTATGGCCTTGTTTTTGCTGTATCTTGTCACGATATGAAATGCCATATTTTGCACACTCACGGTGATACATCCGTGGTGACTTGTCAATGGAATGGTTGCGATCGAAAGTGGAGTGAACTGAAGAATTCGAATCGATACCAATGGATGAATGAAGAGTAACTGAGAATTAAATAACTGAAGGCAGAGGCCAAACAGCTCAATGAAAACTTCTGACCCATTGTCCAAAGTAACTTTTTCCGTTGTCCCAATTGCTGGAGGAACGGGAGAAGTGAATGAGGATACTCTAAATCACTTCTCAGCTCCAGTGTTGCCGTTCGTTCACTCCAGAAGTGCCCTGATCAAAAGACATTTCCAGAAATTGATTCACCTTGATTTATAATAAGGTCAAATGATCTCCCTCCGCCCGGAATAAGTCCAACTGTCCACAGCATCATCAACACATGAGTAGAATTAGGAGCATCTGACAGCCTTTGCTAGTTAAGCGGGAAGATTTGAATCTTACCTTTTCTGGTAAATTTTCTCCGTCTTACAGCCAGTAGCATGATCAATTCACACAGTACCAGCACTGCTAGGGCGATGCAAACAGCATCAAGAATGGAACTGATTTTATCTCCTTGTTCTAAATGGCAGGGTTACAGAAAGATTTAGCATAGACATAGCCCACCTTGAACATTTCAAATATTTCAATCAATTTGAAACAAATATAACCGTCAACAATTAACAAAAGCATGAGTATGTCAATAAAACTGCTTTCCCGAGTCCAAACTGTAACACGAACAGTAGAAACAGTCTTAGTTATAAATACCTGCAGGTGTGGACGGTGGAGGAGTCTGTGAAAAATCGGGCTCTGTGAAATGTATTGTAAAAATATTCAGGAATCTCAAAGAGTGAGATTTTACTTCAGAAAGACAACAGCTCATCGCAATATATGAAAACAATTTGTCATGTTCACCGATCAAGATTCAAACGGTCACTCAGCAAGCTCCTTACCAGAACAGATCACACTGGCATCTTCCTTATGGTCACAGTCAGGATGAGCTGAGCGTGAGGAAGGACAGTCAGACAGAAAAGATTCTCTTCCCTTGCACTTCACTTCGTCCAGCAAGATTTCCCGGTCAATCTGGGAAAAAGTGATTCCCCCTGAGGCCAACAGAGCGGGGCCACATGTCAGCTGTCTGCAGACAACACTCGCATCGGCCAGATCCCAGGAGTCATCGCACACTGTGCCCCAGGTCTTCCCGTTAAGGATCTCCACAATACCGGAACAGTTACTATTGCCTCCAACCAGGCGCAAAGGTAATCCCGATTCTGTCAAAATATAATCAATTTTGTGTGACAGGAGAAGCTAAGTGTTAAAGTTAGATCGTCAATCTGACAAAGAGTTATAAGTACCTGGTTGTTGATTGCAATCCTTTGATCTGTGCGGCTGCTTATTCACTTTGTTGGCTTCTGTGAAGAAGTGAATGACAGATTGTATCAGAGGTCAAGGTTTAAAATGACACCCCCATACTTAAGAGATTCGTTGTATTACCTGAACAAGTCACACCGGTATCTTCATAGTGTTTACAGTCGTTCTGTCCCCACGGTTCTGACTGGCACTGCCAAAGTGTCGTCTCTTGTAAATTACACTCAATCTCATCCAACCAGATCTGTCCAGATCCCGGTCTGAAAGACTCAATGCCTTGGGAAACGAGGTCGCCGCACTGCAAATGTTTACAGATCACTTGGGCGTCATGGTCTTCCAGATTATCAGAGCACACTGTTCCCCAGGTCCCATTATAGAACACTTCCACTCTTCCCTCGCAGCGATGCTTACCATTCACCAGCCTCAGCTCTTTATGCTCTGTCAATGAAATCAGAAATATCCAATGTTTCACTCGAAAATCTCGTTCTCCGCCCCAGCACAGCTGGGAGATAAACACATGTTGCACCGCTCTTATTCATTGATCGCCAGTAGTTATTTAGAAAGCTAACAGAAAAACAGCAACAACCCAAGTCACAGAATCACAGATACCTTACGGCGCAGAAAGAGACTATTCGATCCATCCTGCACCGGCTCTTCAACAGAGCATCACCACCAAGTGATAATCTCCTGCTTTCCCCCAATCCTTGTAGATTCTCAATGTCCGAAAAACCGCTGAATGCCTTCTTTCAATGTCTCAATTCAATTTAAGCCATCCTACGTTCAGGGAATGCATGCCAGACCATAACTACTAATTGTGTGAATCATTTTTCCTCGCATCGCATTTTCTCCTTTTGCAAATCGTTTTAAATCTATGTCCTTTCCTTCTTGTTCTTCTTGTGAACAGGGACAGTTTCTTCATACCTACTCTATCCAGCCCGCTCATAATTTTGAAAACGTCTATCCAATATCCCCTCAGCCTTCTCCTCTTCCCAAGCTATCTTCAAAGCTGAAGGTCCTTATTCCTGGAACATTCTTCCAAACCACTTCTGCACTGTCTCTGACGTCTACACAATATGTATCGCGTGGCGCGTACTTTTGTGCACAATACTCCAGTTGAGGTCTAATAAAGTATCTTGTACAAGATCAACATCACCATCTTGCTCTAATACTCGAGGCTCCTGACAATGAAGCTGATGACACTGTCTGCTTTATTGACTGCTCTCTGCAATTGTCCTCCTTCATTCAATGGTCTCTGCACATATGCACCCAGGTCTGTCTGCTCCTGAACTCCCTTTAACTTGTACTTCCTTTTGAAATTTTATTTCAATGTTCTTCCAACTAAAATGCATCACCTCACACTTCCCTGCGCTGATTCACGTCTGCCACCTATTGGCCCACACTACCAATTTATCTGTACGTTTTTGGAGTTCTACATTGTATCCGACAGTTTATAAATCTTCGAAGTTTCGTGACACCTGCAAGAAACTATTCCCTGCGCGTCAAAATGCTGATATATACTCAGAAAAAGTACATGTTTGCCAATACCGCCCTGGGATTGTTCCGTACAAACTTTCATCTGTTCCACAAAAAAAAAATCAGTTTCCCATTTCTCTCTGCTTCCTTAGAGTCTGTCAATTTTGTTGCTCTGGTGACTTCTGTGACACGGTTTACAACTTTTCACACACGTCTAAATGCCCTGTGAAGACAATAGTGAAACGTCAGTATCGTCACGAATTTCTGGTAATTCTTCAAAAACAACTTCAGCAAGTCAGCCACACACGATTCCCTTTCAGAAACCAATCTGTCTATTCCGACAGATATAAAAATTAATAATCAGGAATAATTTCCAAACTGGCTGCATCTGTGATGAAAAAAATTATCAGCTTGGAAACACTGGGGCGGGTGGCGGGAGGTCACCAGATGAAATGAGATCAGTTACCATATTAGATACAATGGCCTAATGCATCATTGTGGGATCATGGTTCAGGGGAAGATCGGAGGAGGCATCTGAAAGCTGGCGCTCAGTCTCTGCAATGTAGAGGTCAGTACGCCAGACGACAGCAGCACCACCCTTATCGGCAGGCAACTGAACAAAGTCAGGGTTAGATCTGAGCGTACGGAGCGCAGTCAGCTCGGAGGGAGATAGTTTGGATTTGATGAGGCGCGGGTTGGGGGAGAGATTGAGGTGACCAATATCACATTAACAGTTCTCAATGAACAGATTGAGTGCAAGTAAAATTAGATCAGTTACTGCAGCAGATATCATGGCCTGATGCGTCTTGTATCTACAACTGCAACTGATCTCATTTCATCTGGTGACCTCCCGCACTGCTTTCAAGCTGAGAGACGCCAGCCCCGCCATCTCGTTTCTAACTCTTGTACTGGCCAGCTTCTCTGTCCCTGGCTTGTTGCTTGCTGCAGTGTTCCAGCGTATCTCAACATAAGCTGGAAGAACAGCTCATTTTCCGCTTGGGGACCCTGCAGCCCTCCGAACTCAATATCCAATTCAATATTTTTAGGGCCTAAACTTCCCATGTCCTCGTACTCTAAACCACACACCAGGTCTTGTTATCACGTATCCTGCCATTACACACTACCTATAGTGCGTCACTGACAGTCCCCGTTAACAACTGTGCACCCTCCCAGACAGATTGTTATCACTTTCTTTGTCTATCCAAGTGTTCTTCTCTATCTTCGGGCTGTATCCTCTAATTTACACCCTACCCATGCCCCTCCCTATTTTCTGCATCGTAACCGACGTTTTCCCAGCACCCATCAGTACTGAGGAAGGGTGCCTGGACCCAAAACTGTAACTCCGATTCTTTTCTTTACAGATGCTGCCAGACCTGGCGAGCTTTTCCAGCAACTTCTGTTTTTGTTCCTGATTTACAGCATCCGCAGTTCTTTCGGTTTTTATAATTTCCAAATACCAAATAGCAAATAGAAAAGGTTTACAGGGATGTGAGACAAATGCTGGCTGTGTCTAGATTTATCCAGGACATCCGGTCGGCTTTGACCTGTTGGACCGAAGTGTCTGCTTCCGTGCTTTATATCCCTATGACTCGATGAATACTAAATATTTGTAAGTTTCCACTCTAATTAAATATTTGAAAACGTTGGTTAAGATATTACAGTGTCAAAAACTGCATCGAACTGGGGCATCGGTAGAATTGTTCTGTAAAGTATTTCTGCAGACAGAGTCGGCGTAAACGGTATCTACAGAAAAGTCTGTGTTCCAAGGGGATTGGTGCTGATATCTTGCTGCTGAACATGGACATTGACTATTGAACTTCGGATTCCAAAGGGCAAATTTAAAATTGACTACCGATGGCAAATTTATTGATGAACGAGAAGTGGAAGTAGTGGTAATGGTTGTAATGGTGGTTGTTGAAGGGTTGCGTATTGGTTTTGGCGGTTTGAGTGTAGTTAATAAAGGAATATGAATTTTAAAAAGCGGAACCAGGCTTAGAAACGGCAGAATACCTTTGCACTTAAAGTTACATGGGATCCATGATGAGGTTGTACGCACATCAGATTTATGTATTTGTGGAGGGGTGCTTTCGGAATGAAGATCTGTGACCAGGGGTGTTCCACAAGGATGAGTGTTGGGACCTCTGTTGGCTTGTCATATATAGGCAAATTATTTGGATGAAAATCTAAGTTGTCTGAGTAATAATTGCAGATGACACGAAAATTGGTGGAGTCATAGCTAGTAAGGAAGGTTGTCAAAATATAATGCAGAACAATTGGAAAGTTGGGCAGTGATATAGCAGATGGAGTTTAGTCTGTACAAGTGTGGGAGTGGTGCATTTTGGGATGTCAAATTCAAAAACGAAATATACAGTAAATGGCAGGACCTTTAGGAGCATTGATATATATGGTCTTCGAGGGTGCAAGTACATAGCTGCCAGCAAGTCGCAGCACAAATGGATATGGTGAGAAAGAAGGAATACAGTATGATTACGTGCATCTGTCGGGGTATTGAGTATAAAAGTGTGCAAGTCATGTTCCATCTGTAAAAGATTTTGATTCGACTACATTTAGAGCATTGCGTGTCATGTTAGTCTTCACACTATATGAAGGATGTCGAGACATTGGACAGGGTGCAAAAGAGGTTGCCGAGATTGGGGTAAATTCGCTCGGAGGTGAGGTTGAACAAATTTGGATTGATTTCGCTCGAGCGTCGGAGGCTGAGGGGCGGTCTGACAGCAGTATAAAAAGTTATAGGAGGCATGGATTGGGTGGAGTCATTTTCACAGGATAGAAATATCAAATGTTATTGGGCACAGGTATAAGGTGAGAGTGGAAAAGTTTAAAGGAGATGTGCAAGGCAAGATTGCCCGGGATTACGTACTCGGAGTGCGCTGCCAGGGAAAGTGGTAGTAGCAGATACAATAGCACTGTTTAAGAAGCGTTTCGACAAAACACATGAAAATGCACGGAATAGAGAGCTACGACCTATGTGCAGGAAGATGGGATTAGTTTAAAATAGCAACATGGTCCGCACGGACATGGGGGTAAGGGGTGTTTGGGCGAAGGCCATGTTGCTGTGGTGTACTGTTCTATGATTGTTCGGAAAAGTTTGTTCTGACCAAAGTGGTGAGGTTTGCCAGAAGTATAAAGAGGCCGCATAATTCTCGGAAAATTAAAATCTGAATATTGCGAAGGAACAAAGAGATCCAGATGGAAAGAAGCACTGATTACTTCAACAGTTGACGGCTCCAAATTTCAGGGTCTTAAACAGAAAAGTGTTGAAGAATCCAATGGGAAATCTTGGAGAATTGATTTTTGACTCCAGGATGGTGAAGAACTTGAAATTTGAAAACTGACCTGAGGGGTTAGTGTGGATGTGTTTCAGGTGAAACTGGGTAAGTGTATGAGTGAGATGGAAAGATCAGGATACCCAGATGGTGTTAGATGAATTAATGCACAGCGATACATGGGAAGATCAGCAGGACCAGCCAGACCACTATACAGGAAGAATTTGTTGCTGTTGTCTGCTGTACTGTTGGTATTACACAGTAAAGCATGCTTCGTGTGAAGCTTTGGCATTTAGTGTGAAGAAAACGAGCAATACCTGAACACATAATGCTCACATCCTCCTGATGAAAACAGTCGTGGTTATTCCACGACGCTGAGGGACATTTCCAGAGAAATTCTTCTTTCCCGGAATATTTCACCTCGTCCAACCAAATGGGGCCTGAGTTAGGTTCACAAGAAGCAGGAAGTGTCGTATTCAAGGCTCTTCCACAACCCAACTGTTTGCAAACCACATCAGCGTCTGTCATATCCCAGGAGTCGTCACAAACAGAACCCCAGGTACCGTTGTAATAAATTTCCAGTCGGCCAGCACATCTGGTCCCAGCGCCGGACAGCCTTATTTGCATGTGATCTGTTGGGAATCAATTCAGGAGAATTACATGTTTATACACGTACTAACATTGCATCAACACGAGCAAAATAAAAACGTAAAATACGGCTGCAAACAATCAATGAATTAAATAGATAGAACCTGTCCCTTCAACTGTTGGATGGAATGTACAACTGAGAACTATTTCAGATGTGTGCCAAAATTGCTTCGTAAAACCTGCACAAACTCCCAGCTCGAACAAATCCTCTTCAAGTCAATCTTTCTGACCAAGGTTGTCACTTGTTGTAATATTTCTTTGCTTTACCCTCCGTTCATTCCTGTTATGTTTCTGTGAAATTCCCTGCGTCATGATTATACATATTACAGACAAAATCATTCTTGTTCACCTCTTCCAGGGTCATTCATGTCTACACGTATCTCTGATTTCAAAATCTGCTTTGAGTGACGCCGAGGAATAAGTGACCAATTTTCCCAGTTTGCTGAGATCATGATACATTTCGAAATTCGGCTCGTGTATACGTAAATTCTTTAATCACCTGAACACAGGACCCCTACGCCAAAACTGTCGGGGACAGGAGAATCTAATGGGACTGTGCTACAGTTCCGTAGATATGATTCGTTTCCTTTACATTGCACGTCAGTTGCCCAGACTGCCGTTCCACCCTCGCCGTATTTTGAAGAGTTAGAAGCAGCTATGGCGACGCCGCAGCCTAACTGCCTACACACCACGTTAGCATCATTCAGGTCCCACATATTGTCCTGTAATTGACACCAGCTGTCATCCTGGTAAATCTCCACTCTTCCATCACACCGACTTCCGCCATTTGTCAACCTGAGCGGCCAACGTTCACCTGCAGGAAGAAAGGCATCAAGAGAAACAGTTCATGCACAGCCAGTAAAACATCATTGACTAGCTTTAATAGGGACGGCTATTCTTAACTTTGATGATGGAAGCTTAACTGATAATTGCGCACAACACTTGTAGCTGATTCTCTCCACCATTCTTGTTTCCGCAGTGACTATATTTTTAGAGATTTAACGCGTAGACCTGTTCGCAATACAGAATAAAGTAGAGCAAATTTGAGGGCATCTGATCTGCTCCTTTCGCCACTAGTTTGATGTGAATAGTTAAAGGTGAATGTCTGGAGAAGAATGATGTACAGTCGCTGATGGAGCCTGAACAATGGTAATGCCAATTTACTGCCTAGGGAAGGTGCTCAGATTATCTCATGTTGGAAATGATCACTCTCACTGTCTCATACTCATCTGCAGTAATGTTACCTCCAGATCTCAGCCTGGATAATGTTCAGGTGTTGTTGCATGTTATCGCTTTGCTATCTGAGGAATTGCCAATGGAGTTGAGGCTTAATGAGTCCACTGCAAATAGCATCACTTCTGACATTGTGTTGGAGGTAAGGCGAATTCTGAAGCGCTTGGCGACAGTTGGGTTTAGGACTCAACTTCGAAAGCAAGGGAATTGGACTTCTGGAGTATTGCTCACTACTCCCGCAGGGCAAGAGTTTTGACCAATTTTGGTCAATTGAAAACAGTCAGACCACATTCAATGGATTATTTTTCGGGAAAGATTTTCAGGGCCATGATTCAAATGCATGTGCGTTGAGCTGATTTGCAAATCAAGCTTGGTCAATTGAAAACAGTCAGACCACATTCAATGGATTATTTTTCGGGAAAGATTTTCAGGGCCATGATTCAAATGCATGTGCAAATCAAGCTTGGTTGATCCAAATGATTGAATCCGCCCGAGTTGATAAGTTTCATGGATAAGTTTCTCATCGCGTGAAAATTTGGAGCGTGTGTATTGATTCTATCATAAAAACATTCCAATCGACTGGCTTGATTGGACTAAGAAAGACTGGGGCACAGTTGCCCATTGATGCACTGCTTTTCATTTACTGTCCCGGGACACAGATGGTTGCAAGGCTGTGTCAATGTCAGTGTGGTCAGTAACACACTCTCGCCCCACTCAGAAGATTGGAGATGCAGCCCAGAGTTTAAGCTAAGGAGTCAGCTGATTGTAGTACTGAGAGCAATGTCTGACAGACCAGAAATTACACCGAGTTCCATCAGTCTGCTCAGGCTGTGACTGTAAACAATCCTGTTGCACTTTTTCAAAGAAGAGAAGTGGAGTTATTCCCGGTGTGCTAGATAATACTTAATTTCTCACACAAATCCCAAACCCGATTCTGGGGTCATTGAGCAATCGGTTTTGTGGGTATTTGACGACGTCCAGTATGACTGAAGATGAGCAGTTGTCATCCAGCTGGTTTTTTAAAAAAAGGGACAAAAACGAAGTTGCTGGAAAAGCTCAGCAGGTCTGGCAGCGTCTGTGAACTGAGTCACCGGAAGGGTCACCGGACCCGAAACGTTAACTCGGTTTTCTCCTTCTCAGATGCTGCCAGACCTGCTGAGCTTTTCCAGCAACTTCGTTTTTGTTCCTGATTTACAGCATCCGCAGTTCTTTAGGTTTTTATTTTAAAAAAGGGAATCGCAGTGACTGTAGAAACTGAAGAGGGAATGACATTGCTGTCATAGAGTCATAAAGTCGTAGAGCTCCACAGCACGGAAACAAACTCTTCGGTTCAACTCGTCTGTGCCGACCAGATATCCTAAATAAATCCGGTCCCATTTGCTAGCATTTGACCCACATCCCTTGAAACATTGATATTCATATTCCCATCCAGATGCCTTATAAGTGTTGTAATTGTTCCCACCTCCACCATGACGTCTGGAAGCTCAGACCATTCTCTGCATGAAAATAGTTACCCCTCAGGTCCCTGTTAAATCTTTCGCCTCTCACCTTAGAACTATTCCATCTAGTTGTGGACTCCCCCATCCCAGGGGAGAGATATTGTCAATTCACCCTGTCCATGCCCGTCATGATTTTACGAAAATCTATCAGGTCACTCACCAGCCTCCGATGCTCCGGGGAAAATAGCCTTGCTTATTCAGTCTCTGCTTATAGCTCAAACCTTCCATCCCTGGCAACATCCTGGTAAAACTTTTCTGAATACTTTCAAGTTTCACAATATCCTTCCTATACCAGAGAGACTAGAATTGGACGCAGTTTTCCAAAAGCGGCCTAACCAATGTCCTGTACAGCTGCAACATGACCTCTCAACTCCAACACTGAATGGTCTGAAAAATAAAGACAAGCGTACCAAACGCCATCTTCGCTGTCCTGTGTACCTGCGACTTCACCTTTCAATGAAAAATGAACATGCACTCCAAGATCACTTTGTTCAGCAACACGCACCAAAATCTTACCATTAAGTGTCGAAGTCCTGCCCTGATTTGCCTTTCCAAAAAGCAGCACCTCACGTTTATCTAAATTAAATTCCATCTGCCACTCCTCGGCCCATTGGCCCATCTGATCAAGATCCCGGTGTACTGTGAGGTAACATTCTTCGTTGTCCACTAAAACCTCCAATTTCTGCACACTTACTAACCATACTACTTATGTTCGCGTCCAAATCATTTATGTAAATGTTGAACTGCAGTCGTCCCAACACTGATCTATGTGGCACACCACTGTCACAAGGCTCCAGTGTGAAAAACAATTCTCCAGCACATAGCAAGTTCTTTAGCAAGGCGCAGATTGAAATTACAAGTAGCAGGAAGTTTACGTTGATGGTTTTATGGTAAATCATTTATGACTCAAGGTGTCATTAATGAAGTTAACGACTAGTCAGTGACATTCACCTACGATGGATCAAGTTTCTGGGGTACTATTAAATCAAAGTTTATTGCAAGTACATCCTTTGTACCTTTCTTGTATTACATTGGAAGATTTTCAATGTGAGTTATTCCAATAAAATATTTACTGAAGATAACCATCAGATAATGAGGTAGTTTTGGAAACAATGAATCTCCTACCATCGTATTTGAAGTGTCCGCTTGAGGACTGAGGCAGTGCAGTCCAGTTGTATTGTTCAACAACGAATATTACATCAAAATCACAGGAGCAACTCATGTTCGAAAATATCTGCCTGTCTGCTTATTCTAGAAGAAAATCTGAAATTCAAAATTCTGTCATTTATAAATAATTGTGTATTTTTTGTCCTGTCGCACAAGATGTATCATATTAATAACGGATAGTGAGGACAGGTTTACGTCTGGCCCGGCTGCAGATGAGCACAATGGCGCCACCTACAGCATTTTTGCTGAGACTGTGGAGCAAGTTATGTCTCATTCTGAGATAACAAGGTGTAGAGCTGGATGAACACAGCAGGCCAAGCAGACCCGTCTCGGCCCGAAACGTCAGCCTTCCTGCTCCTATGACGCTGCTTGGCCTGCTGTGTTCATCCAGCTCTACACCTTGTTATCTCAGATTCTGCAGCATCTGCAGTTCCTACTATCTATGTCTCATTCTGTCAGGTTGTACTTACTGGAACAGATCACACTGACATCATCCCTGTGGGTGCATTCATGCTGAGTTACTGGAGAAAGAGCACAATCCAACAGACTTTTCTCATTGCCTTTACATTCCAAGCGTTTTCTCCGTATTAGCCCAGTGCCATTTCCGAAACGAATTCCTCTCGGCACGGACAGGGCGACTCCACAGTTCAGCTGAGCACAGACCACATTGGCATTGTTCAAATCCCAGTGAAGGTCACACACTGTTTCCCAGTTCCTAGCGTACAGGATCTCCAGTCTGCCGGAGCACTGGGACTCTCCATCTACTAGCCGGGGAATTCTGCGACCTGAATGATAATTAATCATAAACATACGAATGATTCATGAAGGAATATGTGTCTGTTTCACCGAAATTTGAATGACGAATTCTGAGTGTGATTCGTTTCTAGTTCAATAATCATTATGCTTCCCAAGCACCAACCCACCCCGAACTCCATCGGCACTATTGATTACACGCCAGTTGATAACACGAATGTACTTCTTCGAATGTCACTGAGTGGCTGCAAGGTTCTTCCTTCAGCAGACACTGCATTACCAATGAAAACTGAGCAAATATCTGTTGAGAAGAATATTTGGGCACCAAAATTATTTTATTCTGTCTTTTTCCTCTGTTCAAAATTTCAAACACTATTTCATTTTCACGGGCTTATTATGGAACCTTTGTAAGATTCACAATTTCTCGACATTCGAAGAGAATCATTCCTCAGTTTGTTTACTTCCACTTACAAGATCCACCCTTCATCACATCTAGTTATCGGGAAAGGATTGGGGTCAATTCCAGAGTATACATCCCCTATGATACTCGGTTAAATAGGAAACTGGATACACTTTGTGAATTCTTCCTCCTGGTTATTTTGGATCTTATGATGCCTCGAGAGTAGGTTTAACAAGTGATTTCAGTGTAAAGCACCTCCAAGGAAACAGTGACCATTCCACTGAATTTAACATTCAGTCTGCGAGTGAGAAAGTTCCGCCAGAAACAATCGCCCTTAACATAAAAACAGCTGAGTATAAAAGATAGATGGCAGTGTTATCCGCAGTAGATTATGAAAGGAGCTGAACAGAAAAGGCAGTTGAGGAAAATTCGCAGATGTCTTACGGCATAGGTCCATCTAAATAAGGCAAAAGGATCCTGGAAAAGCGATAAACCAGCCATGGCTAACCATGGAAATTAAAGACAGCATCAAACAAAAAAAGAACAATGTGCCAAAGATGATTGTAAACTAGACAATTCGAAGTGCTTTCAAAACCAATAAAAATAACCGAGAAATGTACAGGTAGGAAAATAAATTTGAGGTGAAATTAAGAACTAATATCAAGGGAGCATACAAAAGTTCCTTTAAATTATATTTTAAACAAACAAGTGAGAGGTCAAATTGAACCTAGCCCCGCCAGAAATTGAATCTAGGGAGATAATGGTGAACCAGGAAATGACAGAGAGATTGAATACATACTTTGCATCAGTCTTTGTGGTAGAAAACACTAATAGAATCCCAAATATACTAAATAATGAAGAGAGCATGTGGGACGAAGAGGAAATAAACACGATCGGCAAATCTCGATAAAAGTATTAGGGAAACTGATGGGTTAAAATCCGGTAAGTTCCCTGGACCTCATGGGGTATTGGAGGAGGTATGGAGGAGGTATAGATAGAGGGATAATGAATGCACTGCTGCTAATATTCCAAGAATATGCATTGTTTCTTATATTCCAAGAATCTTTAGATTCTGGAGAAGTCCCAAACTGGAAAACTGCTAACATAACACCCTTGTTCAAAAAAGAAAGGCTTGACATCTGTTATCGGAAAAAAATGTGAGAACATCTTGTACAAGGTGTAACAGAAGAAATACATAACATAATCGAGCATAGACAACATGGTTTCATGAAGGGAAAACCATGGCTGAGATATTTATTGGAATTCTTTTATGTGGAAATCAGCAGAATTGACAGAAGTGTATGTTTAGATGAAATATATTTGGATTTTCAAAAGGTGTTTAACAAGTTACTGCATATTAGGCTATTTAATAAGTGAAGAGCCCATGGTGTTTGCGTAGTATTTTAGCAAGTAGGCCATTCAGCCCATTCGGACTGTTCGAACATTTAATAAGACCATGGCTGATCAAATAATACTCAACTCCAATTTCCTGTGTTTTCCCCATTGCCTTTAACTCCCATACTAAATAAAAATCTGTCTATCTCAGCCTTGAATCCGCTTAAAGGCCCGATCGCAACAGTCCTCTGCGGTGAAGAATTCTTCGGATTCACAACATACGAGAGAAGAAATTTCTCCTCTTTTCTGTCTGAAGATTGAATTTCTCTATTTTCCATTTGGCAAACCTCTCTGTTGTCTGCCGTCAAATCAGTAGGACTGAAAATTAGCAATTAACTTGTAAGTGTACAAATCAGCCAAATCCCTACCGAATGTTATTGATCAGACACGGAACAGCCTATTTCTGCTCCCGGAAAGTGATGATATCTAATACCTAGTGGAGTCTAAATGCATCGCCTTACTTCATTAAGGAGGCCATGTTTCCACCCTAAGGAGGGACGTCAAATATGTGAAGGCAACCTGTCGGCTTCCACACTACTCGGAGCTTGTACCTGAACAGATTACTTCAACGTCCTGCTTGTGTCCACAGTCAGGTGGTCCAATGGCAGGACCCGAGCCTGGTCCAAAGTGAGAAGTGAGCGGCATTTCAGCTACAGAGCCACAGTCCAGCAGCTTATAAACAGCTTCGGCATTTTCTAACGACCAGGACCGATCTTTGCAAACTGTGCCCCATTTTCCATTCGAGTTAATCTCCAGCCTTCCGGCACAGGGATTGTTTTCTGAGACGAGTCTGGGTCTGACATTTCCTGGAAAAGGGATTGAAACAAACTTAGATTGTTTAAGATCCTTACATTCGTAAGTAATGAGCGATTCTGCAATCACATCAAGGATCAGATTTCTCTGTTAATTTATACTCGCGTACACACCCGAAACTATGGAATGCGCGCGTGTGGAAAACAGCTGTTATCAATTTTCAATCTTATCGCCACGCATTTTCTGAAAGTTTTGTTAGGACACTTGCGGGTGTTTCCTGACTTTCCTTTGAACTTAGAAAGTTGATCCAGTTCCTGCAACATAATCGGTACTGAGAATGTCAAATGTGGATGAATTGAAATCAAAGTGTCACAAACTCCAGAGCATGTTTAGTTATTATGAGCAATCTAATCGTTTAGTTCATTCTCTCTTCCAGAATAACAAGTTCTGAGGACTGCAAGTGCATCGTGAAATATAAAGCAATCACATCAATCAAAGTAAATTTTGCATGTGGATTACAGGGCAATGGAGGCGATGAAATCTCCTGGTGCAGTAGGCACCTAGTTTTGTTTTGTTTTTTCAGGACTTGAACATCTATATATTGACTGGAACGTAGGAACATAGATAGAAGAGAAAAACATTCAACCATTCCAGCCTATTACGCCACACTGTGATATTACGGCTGATCTGTGGTCTAACTCTACATGCCTGCCTTTGGCCCATATTCCTTAATACCTTGACTTCCAATTTTATCTACAGCACATTTAAAAGAATGGCGGCATGGTTCCAGTGGCAGTGATGGCTTTCCAATTGCGGCAGTGTGCGGGGATTCGGGGCGCCTGAATGTTCGCAGACTGAAGGATGGACTTTGTGGCTTTGTTTTTCTGGAGACGAGGACTCATGGCGGAGTTGTGGGAGTGATCTCGACGTTTTCTTTTCTTTTGGCTGTTTATGTTGTTTTTTTCTTCTGTTTTTAATCCTGCCTTTTTTATCCTAAGATGGCGCCGGAGAATGGCGACCTTGTACACTTTTCACTGTACTCCTGTATTCCTGTATTCGAGTACACGTAACAATAAAAATTAAATTTAAATCTAACAACACATCCAGCATCTATTGTTGCTTGTGGAAGAGAGTTCAAAACCTCCACCATCCTTTGTTTAGAAGTACTTCCAAATATCTCTCCTGAGCGACCTGACCTTAAATTTTAGACGATACCCCTCCATTCTTGGATAGCCAACTACTATAAATAGTTTATCTTCATTTACCCCGTCTTTTCCTGTTAACATCTTGAAGACTCACAATATAGAACATAGAACAGTACAACACAGGAATGGGTCCTTCGACCCACGATGTTGTGCCGAACAAGACGCCAAATGACACTAATCCCTTCTGCCTTCGTCCATATTCCTGCCTTCCTTGCGTATTAAATACCCTTATCGTATCTGCTTCTGCTACTACCAACCCCGGCAGGGCGTTCCATACTCCTACCACTCTCTGTGTAAAAAACCTGCCCCTCACATCTCCTTTGAACTTCCCCCTCTTACCACTATGTCGCCAATATTAGACATTTCAACCGTAGGAAAAAGATTCTGGCTGTCAACCAGAGTCGGTGTCTCATAATTTCATAAACTTCTATCAAGTTTCTTCAGCCGCCGCCGCTCAAGAGAAAACAACCCGAGTTTTTCCAGCCTCTCCTTCTAGCTCATACCCCTCTAACCCATTCTAACCCATTCTGCTAAACCGCTGCTGCACACTCTCTAAAGCCTTCGCATCCTTCCTATAATGTGGCGACGAGAATTGAACGCAACACTCCATGTGTGGCCGAACTAAAGTCTTATAAACTTGCAACGTAACCTTCTGACTCTTGTACTCAATTCCCCGACAAATAAAGGCAAGCATGCCGATCAGATCCTCTTCACCTTCTTAGGTCTCGAGAAATCAGGCCATATGGTTGTAATTTCGCCTCATAACTGAACCAGGTATCACTCAATCAAGTACCAGACAAATAGGATTGCCTTCATGACAAAGAGGGGAGACACATGCTGGTTTCATGTGAGGGTCACCCTGCCTGAACAAGGGAGGAAGTTGAGGAGAAAGGTCCTTCATGGTAACCTCTGCCGGCGTGGGGATTTAACCAATGCCATAGGTGTTGTTCTGTGTGGCAAGCAATCCATCCGACCAAAAGAGTTAATTTCACTCCTTCTCGAGCTGTTCCATGATTCATTTTAGTAAAGTTTTGACGCTCTCCATGTCTGAAATATTGTCCCTGTTGTTATTTATTATGTGTCAATATATGAGAGAAAATAACGGCGTATTCAGGCTGAGATTGGATGTTACTGTGCCGTTGGCTCCGTGCTGCCTGGCCTGCGGCTGAGACCCTCTCGGGCCACTCTGAGTCACTCAATTCTGTCGAACAATCGTCTCACCCCGAACCATGAGCTCAGGAGAGATTTACAATAAAATAGTGGGATTATGGAGCTTGTACTTTTAGTTACTGTGGACAAGTGAACCGTTTGACTTTCGCAGGCCACCCTCCACCAGTCACACTGCCTCTCCCAAAATCGCCTCCTCCCGGAATCCACCCTGTGGTTACTCGTGGCTTTGTGGGATTTCCAGCAGTTTAGCTCATTCCTTGCATTTTCAGGGCAAATCACAAGAGAAGGTTGTCCTAGAGGTCGTAAGGACTGCAGATGCTGGAAGTCAGAGTCGATAAAATGTGGAGCTGGAGGAGCACAGCAGGGCAGACAGCATCAGAGGAACAGGAAAGTCGACGTTTCGGGTTTGGACCCTTCATCAGGACTGTCTCGTTGACTGTTGTGCTTCTCCAGCTCCACATTTTGTCAGCATAGAAAGTTGTCCTGTCTGCATTGTAAGTTTGAACAGTACCGACTCTTGAGTGCTACTAATACAGTGTGTTTATTCAAAATCGCAGTCATGGTATCAACGAAAACGAGTTGTCTTCATAACAACACAATAGTCATTGAAGAGCTCTGCCATTATTATCATCACACTTCATGGTTCACGGGGATTACGCGGCCCCTGCTTTTTTTGGTCCTATTCTGGAAGATCATTGACACGGCCTTACGTGAGAAGAAGCAGGAAGATTTGTACCTGAGCAGATGACTCCAGCATCATTAGAATGCGACCACCAAGTTCTGTGAGCCCACGAATCTGAATCGCATTGCTGCAGAGCGGACTCGGTCCCCCTGCACCGAACATTACTGGTTACAGCGGAACCCGAACCTTCTCCAAAGTGAGAGCAGCGTGGTGATGAGAGCGCCGTCCCGCAGCCCAACTCCCGACACACAACAGCGGCGTCCTTCAGGTCCCAGTTATAACCATTCACAGTCCCCCATCTTCGCTGGTGGCGAATCTCCAATCTCCCTGCACACCGACTGTCCCCGTTCACCAGTCTCACGTTCTCTGTAAAACATTAACAGATTAAGAGGACCAGGAGATTAAATCCGCAGTCTCCCATTTTATTTTCTCCTTTATTCTCAGGGAAGGGAGAAATCACTGGGGACACTGGTTCGTTCCTAAATCTCTAATAATACCCGGAATAAATATGAAACTTGATAACGAGAGAGACAGATTCATAAACGGTGTGAATGAGCACGGACAGAGGATCAGTGGAAAGTTCCCACGAACGCAGTTGCTCCGAGCTGCTGAAAGACTTCGAAGATCCCTCAGCTCCCAGAGCTGATTGGCCTAGACAGCGCCAGAAACCGCCTGACTGTCCATCGCAGCCAATAAAACGGCCGCTTGATGATCCTGTAATCCGGAAGTCAGTGAGGACTAGTGAGTTGGAAAATGAGAGGTGGCAGCGCGAATGGAGCTGATCCTTCACAAGGTCCTGCTGAGGATCCTTCATTCATTGTCTGCCTGAGGGCAGCAGCAGTCTGCCGGCTGGAAGAGAAACAGCAGTACGGGGACAGTGTCCACTTTCAGACTGATAATCGATCAGTGGGTATATCCGTGATCAAAACGGCACTGAAATTGTCAGGCAGCCTTCATCTTTAATGGGTTGGACTGGAACAGAAACAGATAAACTGAAAATAGAAGAAAATTACCTGATCGGGGAGCCTGACTGTTCCCGGGTCTGTCTGGAATAAGAAGAGGGAATTAGCGTTCAACGGACCCAAAGAATACACGAAACTGTCCGAAAGATTAAGCTACAGCAAACTGTGAGGGAAGATTTCCCGTCACTCTACGGAAGAAATCATGTCTAGATTCATGACTACCTCGCTTACACAATCATCAAGTAAAACGGACACGCAATTTTTGCGCGAACTATATTGGCAACTTGCAAACATGTGACCTGATTATTTTCACACATCCACACTCACACCCAGCTACACATTGATCTGGTAGGGCCGTTCATGGTGCTAGTTTGAAGACTAATTGAGCAGGCGAGGCATTTTACAGCTTCCTTTTAAAAACCTCTACCAATCTGCTCTGTTAAGATCCACGGACGCACCGATCATTTTGCAAAAGTTGTAAACATTTCCCAGCGACAAACGCAAGGCAACAACATTTCGAGCCTTCGAGTTGTAAATGTTAATTACATTACAACACAATTTAAAATCAACATCGACTGATATTAAATAGCAAGCAACAAACACACTAAACTACAGGGCAGGTATGACTTATTAGAGATAACAAGGTGTGAGCTGGATGAACACAACAGGCCAAAACTGTGTTCATCCAGCTCTACACCTTGTTATCTCAAATTCTCCAGCATCTGCAGTTCCTACAACCTCAGATATGACTTATTAACTGTTCTAACAACTTACGATGAGGTTTCGTCCTTCGCTACCGTCTCCATAGCATCCCGATCACATGGAAGTTTAACCCCACTACAGTGCTGAATATTGGTGGTGACACTCTCAGTGACGTTCATTCGGAAATTCTTGCATTTCTATGACAGTTTCATGAAGGGATGGAAATGTACTTTTCATTAAAGATTCGCCGTTTATGTGATAAACGTCGACGCTTTTCAGTTCGCTCCAGTCTCTCTATGTGCAACCCTCAATTTTCTACAAAAAGTGCAACTGGGCTTTCATTCAATTTCTAATTTCGGCAAACAAATCAAGGCCAACTGTCTGGCGAATGGGTTCACGGCGACTCGCTCAGGGTGGATCATTACGTTCCTGCTGTATATTCTCATGCAACCTGCCTTCACCGTCCTGATCTATCCACTTACGTGTTAATGTCATCGCTCAACTTCACAGCTTTTTCTCAAAGGGTTACTAAACATGAACAGCAAAAGCGAACAGCTGAGAATCGCACGTTAGCCTGTTCCCCGAGACATTCTCTTTTTAGCTCCAGGGGAAAAAATGTTCGGCCGTTTTGCTTTCTCCTCCTTTAGTGTTTTCCCATTCATCTACAACCCGTATCTGGTTACCATTTTCTTCCATATATCCAGTGTTATAGTTTCATACCGCTTGAATTGCATTTTTTTGAAGTGATTACTTCGTGTATCGTTGTACATGTGCCCGGATGTTTAAATGGCATCATACGGGTTTTGTGCAGAGATTGAAAACATATTTAAAAGTAATGCTCTCAAAATATTATGCAAGTAAACATGAAATAAACCGTTGTGTTCAGTGCAAAAAGTCAGACTTTTTGAAGATTATCATGAGCTAAACAAAGCCGCTCATGCAGCAAATCCACGTGAGATCAGTGGCAGGATTTTGGAGAAAGCAGATGCAAAGCACTGCTGATGCTGGAAAGCTGAAACAAACGCACAGAATGCTGGAGAAACCCAACAGTCTGGCAGCATGCGTGCAGAGAGAAACAAAGTTAACGATTTGAGTTCAGCATAAATCGTCTATATGTGTTAATGCAGGATTTTAGACGGCAAAGTTCGTAAGAACTCTAAATGATTACGATCATTGAAGCAAGATTTCTCCTTGCCTACAGAATATATTCTTCCAAAATATTCATTGCTAATTTGAAGGGTGCTGTTTATATTAATTAAATTGGTTGCTTTGTATCACACAGCATTTCTGTAAAGATATGGCAGGGACAGAATTCTCAATGCGGAATGACTCCAGCCGGTGCAGTTATTTAGTGTAATAGTCCTGACGCCCTATTGCTCGCATTGGTCACCCTCGACTTCAACTAGCCTGTTGTATATCGCAAGATAAAGAAAAGACTCCATTTTGCTTCGCCCCTACGAGGGACTTAAGAAACAAAGTGTAACAAAACGCTATGCTCATTATATCGGTTTTAATAATATAAATTTGACAGCAGCCTATGAAAATTCTGTCAATGCCAATGAACTGCCGATCGAAATGTGAAGTACAATCAACGGAGCATTTTACCGACAATGACTAAAATGGGCTATTTTGAATTTTGCCATTGTTTAAAAAATGGATCATTTCAAAGGCATTAACACGAACCGTATATTATATTATTGACTGGCAAATTTTTAAGAAATGTTTCAAGTTTCAGTTTATGAGAACTGTCATATGAATTAAATATGAATTTTCCTATAAAGCAATTTTGGCCACTGCGCGATAAGTTGAAAACAAGATCGTGAGTGAAGTCACGGGGATAAAGAAAGCCACGAGCTCCGTTTCATTCCCTGAATCCCATCGCTTTCATCGCTTCCTAAACAAAATGGGTTGACAGAAAGCGAGGATACTTAACAAATGTGTTAATTATTGTTTCGGTAAGGGTTGAATATTGTAATTGTTTCTGCAATTTGGAAAATTCATCCTGAAAGCATTTCCTCAGTTGTTAAATGTTATCGACATTAATCAGATAATTATTGTCCATGTCTGCTGCTGTCAGCAAATACTTACGCACAACATCCCATTCCCTGCATTCTAATTGCTCAGAAGCGAAACTTAGACGTAAATCAAACCTGAACAGAAAAGCCGCGGCAGATTATTTTGTTCACTGCGGCTCCCCTACAGACAAAAAAAAATAGGAACAGTAATCGTGCGGTGATGATACAAAGCCAGTCTGCTGAAAGCAGAGTGCGGTGACTGTAGGAATCGACGGAACCGAAGCAGAAGTGAACATGAACTCACTGACAGTAGAACGCGAGTCAAAGCTACACAGAGTGCCACCTGAACTCACCCGGAATCTCTGAGCCAGGAGTGTTATTCCTGCCTGTGCATTACACTGAATAGAAGTAAACCATGAGAACGGGATTCTCGTGCTCAAATCGGTTATGTTCCAGAGATATAATTTGCTAAAAACATAAAAGAAGTGACGGAAGCTTCCCCTGTCTGCAAATTGATAAAAAAAAAACTTTGGAAATAATTTGTCACCCAATGGAGGCATAGGACGAACAGGAAGAAGGATAATGAAGAGCAAGGTTCCATACTAATTGAACATCACATCATTATGTCAATATGTGCAAAATCTAAAAGAGGTTGAGAAAAACTTAACATGAGGCACATACTATAGAAAGGCATGGAAGTTACTAGTCCTGCGGGTTACCAGAGACCAGAATATGAACTGGAGTAGCCAGATCAGCACTGTGTTATCAAGAGCAGGTCAGAGGCAACATTTCTGCGGCAAATACAACTCCAAATTCCATAAATCTTGTCGAAAATTAACAAGGCACGAGTTAAAAGAGCGGTGCACGACTACCAACTTTCCTGGTTGAGTGTAATCGAGCAACATCAACAAACTCAACACCATCTGTGCCATGGATGACAATGAAAGCATTCTGAAATAAAATGGAGTGCTGGAGAAAATTAGCGCGGCTGGCAACACCTGTGGAGAGAGAAACATATTTAAGATTTCAAGCTCAATCTGCTCTGTGTTCAGAACAATGGTGTTCCGAAGAAGACTTGGAAAGAAATTAGCTGTTTCTCTGTCTCGAAGTACTGCCCGACCTGCTGAGTTTCCCCAGTTCTCTGTTTTAATTTTCAGATCCATAGATCTTTGTTTTTTATGTGAGTGACAGCGTTCTGATGGTAGTCGCGCAGTTGTGAATACCTTCCGTCTAAACTATTTTGTATTCCCCATTCAGAGTTCCTCAAATATAGATTGAAAACCGAATTGAACACAAGTAGCGAGTCAGTTTTCTTGACGCTGTCCTCTGCTGCTCTATCAGAAGAACAGCAGACTGTAATTCGGATTCTGTTCCCTTTAATGAAATCGAACCAACTTGAAGTGAAGGGCTCTTTTATCGATGGAAGTGGGTCAGAACATAGACTATTTACATTTTTCATGTTTCCAAATTACAGCATAATCTCGAGAAATCTCAATTGGCAGACAGCTATGAGGTCGTGCGAAGCGCAATGTTACTACATTAGTTTCTATACTAGTGAGATCCTTCCCAATTTGCAGTTGATTGAATTTATATGTGGAGCAACCAACCAGTTAAATGAAACAAAGAACAGCGGATTCCGGAGATCTGAAACGAATAAACAGAAATTGCTGTTGAATTCGACAAGTCT